TCACACCACCTGCCTCGAAAGCACAAGATCCCAAGTTCAATCCCCGGTACAAAAAAAAAAAAAAAAATTCAGTAGTTTAGGGCTGGGGATGTAGCTCAGTGGTGTGGCGCCTGCCTGGCAAGCTCAAGGCCTTGAGTTTGATTCCCAGTACCAAAAAAAAAGATTCACTAGTTTACATCTCTGATCCTTGATTTCCTCTTTTTTTTTTTTTCTGTTTCCAGGGATTGAACTTCAGTCCTTGTGCTTGCAAGGCAAGTGGCGGAACCACTGAGCTAAATCCCCCACCCTCCTCCTTTTTGAAAAACAGTAGTTGAGTTCGAGGCCACCCTGGGCTACACAGAGAAGTCTAGGCCAGCCAGAACTACATAGGGAGAACCTGTCTTAAAAAAACAAAACAAGCTTTTGCTGCTCCTGGTGTTGCTTGTGTGCTCATTCAGTGCAGACCAGGTACCTCTTGTGAAGCAGGAGCTGGGAAGACTCGGGCACTCTATGGCCAACAAAAAGCATAAGGAAGGAGTCAAGACTGAGAACAATGATCATATTAATTTAAAGGTGGATGCACCCCAAAGTTATACTCTTTTTCTTTTTTTTTTTGGTACCTGCGATCGAACTCAGGACCTTGCACTTTTGAAGCAGGCCGTGGCACCACGGAGCCACATCCCTGCTTCTGAAAGCCTGTTGTGAAGGAGTTGGTCAGTGAGGCAGATCAGATTCCTATTTAATGGACAGACAATCAATGAAACAGACACCTGCACAGTTGGAAATGGAGGAGGAAGATACAATTGATGTGTTCCAGCAGCAGACAGGAAGTGTCTACTAAAAAGAGAATCTGCAACAACTTTACTCCATAACTCTGTTCTTACAGACCAAGAATACATTCTCAATTAGAAAACTGCAATTTGGTTCCACCATATCCTGACTACTATAGTAGTTTTCTCTATTCTTTCATTTACCCCTTCTCCATTCCTTTATTGTACATAAAGTATCGGGTGCATGTGCACAAGCATATTGCTTTTTTTTTTTTTTAACTAAATGGCCAACAATATGTTTTGATTGACATCAAATGGAGATGGGATGGGGAGATACTAGTTCTGTGAAAATAATCCCCTCTCCATTAGTGGCATGCTCATCAGCTCTTATCTTTATATTCCAGTAAGTTATTTTGCTCTGTTTTAACAGAAAAGACAACAACATTGGGCTGGGGATTTAGCTCAGTGGTTCTGCAGCCTGCCTTGCAAGCACAAGGTCCCGAGTTCGATCCCCGGTACCAAAAGAAAAAAAAAAGAAAGAAAAGAAAAGACAACAACATAAATACCCTTGCATACCTTGTTTGATTGGAGAATTTTAATGTTTTTCATTTATCATTGTGAAACCAAGGATAATTGTATAACTTTTTTGTACATAGCTGTTACAAGTATGGCAATCTGTACTTATGTTGGAGTAAATTACTCTTTAAAAGAAAAAGAATCCTAGATAGTTCTCCCTTTAAGTCAAGTGTCTTGTTGTTTAAATAAACTTGTTTAAAAAAAAAAAGCAAAAAATCGGTGATTGGACTCTGAGCCTGCAGAGTAGACAACGTGAGCAAAGCTTACCCTCCTGAGCTGAAATTATGAACAAGAAGTTATCTTTTTACATTTCTCACCCTTTTAAATATTTTTATTTTATTGAGACAGGGTCTCACAATGTAGTTGAGGTTGGTGTTCAGCTGTGTAGCCCAAGCTGGCCTTGAAATCCTGGTAATGTGGCTGCCTCAGCCTCCCCAGTGCTAGGATCACAGGAGTGCATCACCACACCCAGTTAAATTTTTTTTTTTTTTAATTTTGAGACAGGGTCTTGCTTAATTGCCCAGGCTGGGCTCAAATTTATGATCCTCTTGTCTCATCCTCCCAGATTGCTGGAATTACAGGGGTGCACCATCATATCTATCTAAGAAGTTATTATTGAAATTAAATGGTGGCCAACATGTTCAAGGAATATTGTGAGGATTTGACCTCTTTATGAATCCTATGATAGGTGAATGTGTGAAGATGGCAACTAGTGGGCAACAGAACAATGTTAGGATGGTGGTGATACCTGTTAGAAAACTTGGAACAAATTTAAATAATGAAATAATGGCTGTTTGGCAGAGAAATCCATGTTCTTTCTCCAAAGGGCCTGTTCTAGTACGATGTAAAAATTTGATCATGAACTTTTTTTTTTTTGGTGTTTTTGAGACAGGGTCTCACTATGTAGTTCAGGCTGCCCTTGAACTTGAAGCAGTCCTCCTGCCTCAGGCTCTTTGCCAAATCCTGGACTTTACAAATGTGTGCCATCATATCCAACAAGCCCAGTACATTTCCGTACTAAATTTTTTAAAAATAAAAAATAAAAATGGTGGTAATTGTAAAGCCTCCCCTTTCTTCCTCTGGGAATGCTGCAAGATGATGACCTAGATGTGCAGGCTGAACTAAGAACATAGACAGGCATTCCCATTCACTATAAATTGGTGCAACTTCCTGCAAGGAAATTATGCTTCACAAAATAAAAAAGACACATAGCCCTTGCTTTAGTAATTCTAGAAATACATACTACAAATGTAGTGACCATGTGTGCATAAAAAGTATATACCAGAGTACTTAATGAAACATTGTTTGGAGTGGGATTAAAAAGAATGTAGCCAGGTGTGGTGGTGCAGACCTGTAATCCTAGCACTCCTGTAATCCCAGCACTCAGGAGGTTGAGCTAGGAGTATAGTCATAAACTCAAGGCCAGCCTGGGCTACATAGTGAGTTCAAGGTCAGCCTGAACTACATAGTGAGGATACCCTGTCTCAAAAAACAAAAGCAAAAACAATGTAAACAAATGTCTCTCAGTAAGTGACACTAAAATAAATGATGGATTCCATAAAATGGAATATGTGTAAAGGGCCAGAGATTTAGCTCAGTGGTTCCACCACTTGCCGTGCCAGGTCCCAAGTTCAATTCCCGGTACCCCCCCCCCAAAAAAAAGGAATATGTGTAGTTATTTTAAAAATGAGATAGGGCTGGGGATTTAGCTCAGTGGCATTGTGCCTGCCTGGCAAGTGCAAACCCCTGAGTTTGATTCCCAGTACCAGAAAACAAAAAAGATAAATCTTTATGTACTGATATGTAACTCATGAAAAAATTTTTTCAAAGCATAGTATGTTAACATGCTGTTATATATATATATATATGCACACACACATATATATATATATATATATATTTTTTTTTGCTGCTATTTATATTTTTAAAGAATTCACACTGGGTTGGGGATTTAGCTCAGTTGTTCCACTGCCTGCTTCCCAAGCATAAGGTCCAGAGTTCAATCCCCAGTACCAAAAAAACAAAAAAAGAATACACACATTAGTATATTTAATTATATAACCATGAAGTGGCCTTTTTTTTTTGGTACCAGGGATCAAACTCGTGTCCTTGTGCTTGCAAGGCAGGTGGCAGAACCACTGAGCTAAATGCCTGGCCCTTTTTTTTTTTTTTTTTTTTTTATGAAGAGGTTTTGGAGGACCTCAGAAGCTCGTAACAGTTGTTGCCATGAAGATGGGAGTGAGGGACCAGAAGCCAAGGTGGAAGGAAGACTTCATTTTATACCCTTAATTTTTACTTCCTTAGCAATTTGTGTGAGCTTTGTACTACATATGGATCTTAATTATTTGTCTATACTTTTGAGGCAAATAGTTTCCCCTCCATTGCTTGTTTCCTCTCCTGGTGAATTCTTGGAGTCCTCATTCTAACACTTTGGTGGAGGAGGGGGCAGCTCTAAGTTCATGATTGGAACCTGGCTTCCCAGCTGCCTAGGCCACAGGAGGCAGAGCCCAGCCTTCTTGGCTTCTGCCCTGACACTATGACCCCAATCCACCTGCAGACCCAGGCTAGGAGTACAGAAAGGGCACTCTGGTGCGATTTCTGGTTGGCTGCTTAGCAGGGTGGATCAGGAATGGGAACTAGCTTCCCTGTACCCTACCTGTGACCATTGGCAAGCCACTCAGACAGGTGCAAATGAGTCCTCTTCTGGACAGCACATACAGCCTGAATTCTAGCAACGGGTAAATGATGTGTTGTGTTAAAAAAAAGTGGGGAGGGGTGCTTAGGGCTTTCCAGGTCTAATCTCTTTATTTTATAGAAAGAAAGAGACTCAAGGTGAAGTAACTTGGAAGTGGTGAAGCCAGGGCTGGCACCCAAGTCTCAGCACTGTGGAGTTACAGCAGTGCTGGGAGTCCCTCAGGGTAAACTGGGCATGTTGCCTCAGTCAATGAGCCAGCTCCTACCTCTGAGGCCTACTTTCAGGGAAGGAGTCAAGTACCACTCCCTTCCCCCCAAGCCACTATAGTGTGTGGTTTGGAGAAAGAGATAGAAGTGACAAAGATGGAAGCACTGATTCTTCTTGAACACTAAAATAAGCAGAAGTAATCCTGAAGTGGGAAGGGAAGGTCACTGATGGTTTTTTCCTAGGCAGCGATGAGCTAGCTTGGAAAATCAGGCTGCCTTGCATTGTAGCAGGAGGAAGGTGATGCTTGGTACCAAAACACCCTTGAGAACTAGTGTCATATGTCCAAAGGGAGCTTTAGCTCTTGGAACAGGCTTGGTCTTGTCCTGATAGGTGGAGGAAGCAGCTTCCATTTCCTCATGGGTCACTCCCTTCAGCTGTGCCATCACAGCCCAGTGGTTTCTGCCCCAGGTAGACTTGTTCCATCAGCCAATGCTTACCCAGGCCCTCCCCTAGAGATGAGGGAAATACTGCTCCCCTCCCCTCTCCATTCTTCTTCCCTCCCCTCCCCGCTCCATTCTTCTTCCCACCCCTCCCCCAAACATGCCACTCCCCGAGACAGGTCCTTCATGGATACCTGGGAGACAGACAACTGGAAGGAGTGGGAGAGGCCAAGCGCCTCCTGGAAACAAGGATCTGATTGAAAAACAGATGGCTTTATGATCAAATGGAAAATAACTTACTATGAAAATGTCTTTTATTTCTCAGTATAAAGCCAGATACTATAAGAACATGAAAAACTGCCTGGCCAGAGGCCATGAAAGACAAGAAGACTTTAGCCTGGTGCCTTGTGACCTAGTGAGGGCCATGGGAGGACTGGGGGCAGCACAGAGACTCAGGGCAGTCCTCAGGTGTGTGAGGGAGGTGACCTGTCAGTGCTCTCGGAGCCTCCATCTCTGGGGACTGAGGGTCCTGTCTGCCTTTGGGGGCTTCGATCCCCAGCCGAGCTGTCTCCAGGAGTGAAATGGGGGGAAGTGGGAGGATGGGCTGGAAGGGGCTGGAGTTGAAGGGAGGCATAAGCCAAAAAAACTGCCCTGAAAAGCTCCATTTTTGATTCTGTGGCTGCAAGTGAGTGTTTTAGGGCAAGTTGGGAGTAAAACTAGGGTGCTCCCGCCCGCAAAGGCATCTTCAGTAGCTCTACCCACATCCCCAGTGCAGAGAAAGTCTTAAGCCCTTGACAGGACGTGGGTCTGAGACTTAAGGCTGTAGGAGGGGAGACAGGGGCCTGGGGACCACTGGGAAGGAGCTGAGAGGAGTGTGTGCAGGCCCACAGGCGTGAGGGGTGCTTGCTCCAGGAGCTGTGGATCACTCGCTTTAGTGTCTCGGGGAACGTGGGTATGTGGAGGGCTCAGGCCCCGCCCTCCTCTCCACCATCATCCACACTGGTCTGCCTCACCATCTTTCGGAACCTGGCTGTGGAAGACATGCCAGCCTCCCCCTGCTCCTGGAAGGCCTGAGTCTGGTTGGCCACCAGGGCAGCGGTCTGGAGGGCAACCACAGACTGGCGGGACTTCAGGGCAGGCCAAGCCCCTTTGTGGACCCTTGGGCCTCCCTTGGCCCTTGGGAGCTGAGGGAAGGGCTGTGGAGGCTCCTCATCTGAAGACTCATGGGAAGAGAAAACCTGGGTAGGTGAGGAGGTAAGGAAGAAAAGCCATGGGGAAATCAGAGCCAGGAAAAGGGTAGGGGTAGAGTGGTCTGTTGAATGAATACAGAAAGACTGAACTGTTTTCAGACCACATTTCCTGAGGAGAGAAGACAGCACCCAGCTGTACCACCCCTGCTCCCTGACCTCACCAGCCTGCAGCTTCCTTCTGGCCCTTGGAAGCCCTCCTCAGACCTCCTCCACTTGCCACCAGCCCTCATTGGCCCTCTTCTCCTCCTTTTACCCTCTGCCTTTGTACAGTTAGCCCAGTGAGCACCAATGGAACTCTAGGTGCCAAGCCCTGAACTGGGCTGTGTGGACATGTGTGTCTGGGTGCCCAGTGAGGACATGTGCCCATGCTACCACCCACCCCAGTGGGCATCAACACTCTATGCTTCCCTATGGGTCCATACCCAGCACCTCCTCCAGGAAGCCTTTCCTAAATGTTCCCCACTTGACAGACTCTCCTCCTTTCAAGACAGCCATTCAGCCTCCAGTCACGTGTAGGGCCTGGCTTCCTCAGACAAGGGCCAGCTTCCTGTCTTAGCCTGTAGCTTGAAGCGCTCAGCCCAGTGTGCTCACTCAACTCAATACTTGGGCAGTATGCATGCTAAGGACCCTTATACCCCATCCTTTGCCGTGTGGCTCCCCAGATTTGGGAGGCCTTCAATGATCATCTTCCCCACCCACCTAGGGTAGGAGGTGCCTCCATCCCAGGGAGCCCAGCCCCATAGAAAATGAGTCCCTTTGTCAAGCTGGAACCTGCCTGTGACCCAGGCTGGAGCTGCTTTGCCCCTGCTCCCTGATTGCAGCTCCTCAGATATTGGGTTCAGTGCTCTCGCCTGCCCTCACTGGTCTCCTTGGCCACTCTGAGGGGTGAAAGGGAGATGCCCAGCATGTGATTCCCATCCTCACGGTGCTCACAGGGCAAGCTGGGGTTGCCTGGTCCCCAGAGGTATTAAGGTGACATTATGGAGGAGGCAAGGACCAGGACCCCAGGGGTCTTGAGCTCCAGGAGACCCTGAGGGGGGCCTCCTTGGACCCAGGTAGCCTCTGCTTGAGGCCTAAAGTCAAGCACCAGTGCTGATCATCCCCATCTTCTCTCCTCCCCACGGCCCTGCCACTGCATATGGAGCTCCCGCAGCCCAACCTCACCTCTGGCAGGTCACCAGCCTCTGAAGTGCTGTCCAGCTCGGAGGTGGGCTCCAGGAGACTGATGGATCGCATGATCCCTCGGAGGTTGATTCGGGGCCGCAGCCCAGGCTCTTCTTTTGGGGCTGCCTGGCTCTCCTCCAAGCCCAGAACTTTCACCACCCCACTGCCCCCTGGTTCTGGTGGTAGTGGTGGGAGTGGTGTAGAGACTTCAAGGGCTAAGGGCTCCTCTGGGGAGCTCCCACCCACTTTCTGCTCCCAGACATGGCTCTGCCGGCTGTGAGGAGGTGGCCCAGAGTCAGCTTTTAGGGATGTAGCAACTATACCCATTATACACATCAACACCCTACTCTACCCACCTCCCATTTCTCCCACCATACCTGGCAGTCAGGATGCCCTGGTAAGTCTGCAGCTGGCGCAGGAAGCCGGGGTTGGGGCGGACAATGGGCCGGAGCTCCTGCACATGGAGCAGAGCCTGCTCCAGGCTCCAGCCATACTGCTTCATGGCATAGGCCAGCACTGTGGCAGCCGAACGGCTGACGCCCATCTTGCAGTGAACGAGCACCCGGGTCCCCTGGGCTCTGTCAAGGCAGGACATAGTCAGCCCCAATCCTCCCCACATTGTGAGAAGCCAGCAGCATGGGGGAGGGTCAGAGAGGGGAAGGAAGTGAGGACACTGAAGCTGGAGGAGGGAATGGGGGACTCAGTGAAGATTGGGCAGGATGAAGGCATGCTCCTACATGAAGCTCCGACCCAGCTTCTGAGACCTAGGCTGGGCAGTAGGAGCCAGCGGGAGCCTGACCTTGCAGCCTCAATGAAGCGGTGCGTCTCCTTCCAGTGGGGCAGCAGCTGCGCTGACTCCTCATCCCAGAGGCGCACATTGTAGTAGATGAAGCGGTCAGGGAAGAAGTTGTCAATCTCCCGGGCCATATTCAAAATGTGGCTGACCCTGTACCAGAGGGCACCCAAGGCTTGGATGATGTGGGCAGGGGCACTAGGTGCAGTGGACACTAGACCCACAGACCGTGGACATTTCTGTCTAGTCCTTGCTTCTGAGTTAGGTGGCAGCAGCACTTACCATGGGGAGGAGAACTGATCCAGCTGTCAGATAACTGTGACCTTTAGCACATCATTTTACCTTGTTGGGCTTGAGTTTCCCACTTAGCCCAGGTAGATGAGGTCACCTGCAACACTAACCTTTCCATGACTCTGGCAACTTAGCTGGAGAATAGCTTTTGAGCTAAACTGAGTTTGGGTGGCTCTGCAGCAGCAGGTGGTAGGGCTACAGCAGGTCTCCCAGAAACCCATGGACAGAGGACAGCCCTGAAAGCAGCCAGCCAGGTCTCCAGGGAGAAGAAATCCCTTTCCTGAGACATGGCCAGGTGGCCATAGCAGCACATACTTCTGCCCCTCATCTGGGCATGGTTGAGGCCCTGGCTTCTATACTTGTTTACGGTGTCGGGAGAGAGGCCCAGGGGCTCGCCAGTGGGAAGTAAGCTTCTGTCCTGATGAGGCCTGAGAGCCCACATAAAAGCAAAAGCCCCAGGGGTGCAGCTGGTGCTGAGAGTGGTTGGGGGTTCTGAAGCTGGCAGGCAACCTCTTGGGGGAGGCCAACGGAAGGGGAGAGAGGGTGGTATTCATGTGGGCCCTGGAACCGCCACCTGTTTCTCTGCAGTTCCTCCAGGTTGGCTGCATTCCACTCGGAGCCCTGTGGGGGTGGGGGGAGAGAAGCGCCAGGCTCCCTTGCCTCCAGGTGCCTCTTACCAGCAGCCACAGGGATCTGGGCCCTACCCCTACAGCCAGGCTCACCAGATAGAGGTGGGGGAAGATCCGGGAGGCCCGGTCTTGCTGGGCCATGAGCAGCAGCATCTGGTTGTCAATGAAGTCACGGTACTGCTCAAGAGGGCATCCCAGGCGCAGCTCCAGGGCCTGACGGATCTGCAGGCAGGGCCCAGGGAAGAAGAAGTTCCTAGTCCCTCTCCCTCTGGGGCCTCCGACAGCAATACCCTGTCCCATCTAGACAGCGTTGAGGCCAGTTCTGAGCAGAGGCCTGGCTACCAGGGAGTGGCTCAGGACTGGAGGAAAGCAAGGCAGGAAGAGCTCCAGGGAGAGGGCAAGCCCACAGCCTTGGCCTGGGAGTTCCCAGGTCCTGGACCTCTGCCCACCCTGCCCACCTCTTTGGAAGTGATGCTCTCCAGGTCACTGGCATCCAGCACCTCCCACAGCTCAGCCCGGATCGCCTGCTCCATCTGCTCTTGCTCTGAGGGCCTGGGACCAGAGCCCCTCAGTCAAGAGCCCCCTTCCTCTCTGCCAGGAGAGCCCCTGCCTCTACCTCCCTCCACCACAATCCTCCCCCCCAACACACTGACCGGCCAGGCTCTGCACCAGGGGGTCGCAGAGACTCCAGGTCAGCCATGGCCATCCACTCATTGAGGCAGTTCTGGTCAGAGTTCAGTCTCTCCAGGTAGTGGGCAGCCCAGGCAAAGGCACTGCCACCAGGCACAAGGCCGCCACCTAGAGCTGCCTCACATGCCTGGTGCAGTACCTGGAGAGTGGCCCTGGGACAGGAGAGACTGGTCACACTGTCCTCTTTGCTGCCCTCACTCAGGTACTGCAGCCATCTCTCAAGAAGGAGGCTGGCCGGAGGCTGGGGCCTGCAATGCTTACCACATGGTCTGGATGGAGATGGGCTTGAAGATTCGGCTCTGCCCTCCAGATGTCACATTGAAGCCCCTGTAGGAGATGGGTGCTGTGGAACCAAAACTAAGCTCTTGGACAGACAGAGAATCTGCCCTTTTGTCAGATGTGGGGAGGCTGAGGCCCAGACAGGATAGGTGACTTGCCCAGGATCACACAGCAAATCTGAGATAGAACTGAGAGTAGGCCCCAGTTCCCCAGCTCCAGTTTTGCTGTTCCCCAGTGCCTGGCCCCATCTTACCCATCTCCATCTAGGTACACTTGGGTGTCACTCCAGAGGGGCAAGACCAGGCCCAGGGTGCAGCTGGGAGAGCTGGGAGGGGAGAGAGAGAGAGCTGTTGTTCCTTGTACCTCACTTCCTTGCCCCTCTCCCCTGCTCTCCCTGTTCCTACCTGCTGTCAGGAAAATCTACCCCCAGGAGCACTGTCTCCTCCTGGTTCAGACATTCATGTGTGGAAACCACCAGCAGGTAGCGGAGCCTTGGGGGTCGGGCTGCCTCCAGCTGGGCTGCCTGGGAAGATGGAAGGAGCCCAGACTCACAGTGAGAACCTTGCTTCTTCTCTACCCTACCTGGACATACCTCAGGGCAGAACAGCCCCACCCGCCACTGCCACCCCCCAATTCCCAGATACAGGACTAGTGGCTACAATCCAGTGGTTCCTAATATTTGGATTTCATGGTCCAATTATTATTATTATTATTATTATTATTATTATTATTATTATTATTATTATTTTGTAGTAGGGAATTGAATCCAAGTCCTTTACCCTGAGCTATATCCCCAGTCTTTTTAAAATTGTTTTTATTTTGGGCCAGGGATATAGCTCAGTGGTTCTGCCACCTGCCTCTCAAGCACAAGGTCCCGAGTTTGATCCCCGGTACCAAAAAAAAAAATTGTTTTTATTTTGAGACAGTGTCTTGTTAAATTGCCCAGGCTGAGCTTGAACTTTTGACCCTCCTTCCTCAACCTTCCAGAGTACAAAGATTAAAGACTTTTTTTTTTTTGGTACCAGGGATCGAATTCAGGACCTTGCACTTTCGCAGCAGGCAGCAGAACCACTGAGCTAAATCCCCAGTGATTAAAGACTCTATTTTTGTTTTTTTTTTTTTGGAACCGGGGATCGAACTCAAGTCCTTGTGTTGTGCTTGTGCAGCAGGCGGCAAAACCACTGAGCTAGATCCCTGGCCCGATTAAAGACTCTTAAAGGGAGAATGTATGGAAGAATAGGGGGGCTGGGACTGGCAGAGTGGCTCAATTTTTGGTTTTGCCATGGAAAGAGGTTTTTAAAGACCCTATCACTTGCTGTTACCATCCTTTCATTCAAGAAATGCTTATCACAGCTAGGGTGTAGCTCAGGGGTAGGGTGCTTTCGTAGCATATATGAGGCTCTGGGATCCATTCCCAGCACTGACTGCTAAATGAGTAAATATTAAAGTTATCAAAGAAGTATTAAGGACCTAATTTCACAGTAAAGTTCAGCTTTGGGAAACACAGCTTTGGGAGAGTGCATCTTTGTCACATCTTGCTGTGGACAGCAGGTGTGTCCAGAGGCTTTTGGGAGCTGCCCCTCAGGCTCCCAGAGGCCACCTCTCTGTAGCTGCTGCTTGGCACCTCTAGCACACCGGCCACTGACAGGTGCCTTCTGGACACCTTGCCAATATCTCCCCTGGCTGAACAGTGACTCTCTGTGTGACTCCCACATCATGGACTTAACTTGGCCCTATTTGGCTAAACAGGACAAACCTCCCTGTCCTTTCACAGCTCCCCAGAGCCTGTGGACATGACCTCCCTTGTTAAGATGTCTCTAGCTAAAACAGCAGGGTCATGGGATTTGGGTAACTTCTCTGCTACACGGGGTGCCCCGTGGCCTCACACGATTGCTGCCCAGACACACGGCTCCCACCCCTTCTTCTGATGGGTTCTGGGTGACCCTCACCAAGTGGATGTCATCCTGTGGCCTCAGCAATTCCACCATGAGGTGCAGGTGCTGCCTCTGCTCTTGTTTCTTGGGACTCTGGGGCCCTTGCCCATCCGGCTGGTCCCCCCGGGGCTGTTCCTCGCTGGGGGGTTCCTCCACTGGCTCAGAGCTGGCCTCAGGTGTGTCACCACTGTCCCCTCCATCCTGCAGTCCCAGGACAGCCCCACGGAGCACTGCAAAACTCTGCCTGCCAGGGCCATGGGGAATTGTTATAGCCCAGGTTCTAAAACTTTAGGGAGTGTCTGAATCCCATGAGGGGTTGTTAATGTGGATCATTGGCCCCTTCCCCAGACAGTTCATAGGGCTGGAGTGGGGGTGGATAACCCAGCCCCTGGTGATGGCCACCACACCTGGAGAACCAGCCTTGGGCTCTCAAACCCCTCTCCCTCTAGCTGGCTTGCCTAGACTTCCCACCAGCCCACGTGGAGGCCTGAGCCAATGTCCTGGGTAGTGAATGGGTAAAGGAGCACCAGCTGACCAGGGGAAGGTGGAAGCCAGGGCAGCCCTGTGGGTTCTGCCACATGCCAGTAGGGCCCACTAGCCCAGCCCACCCAAATCAGGCCCCACCTATGGATTGGAGTTTGGGCCCTTTGGGAAGCCCTCTGTTCCCAACACCTGGATGAGAGTGGCCAGTCCTGGGGGCTGGATGGAGGCATCTAAGTCCAGAGAAAGGTGCTAACCTGCGCTGGAGCTGGCTTCTGCGCCTGGCTGCCGGGTCCTGCTGAGGAAGCAGCCCCCAGGGGGCAGTGAGGAGGGAGATCTTGCCTCCTCCCATCCCCTTCTCACAGGGCTCCACGTGGGGGGGAGGGGCGGCTGGGGGCAATGCCCTCCTTGTGGGGGGAAGGGGAATGGGCATGAAAAAGTATTGGACGCCAATTCTTTTCTCTTCCCAGCCCCCTCCCTACCAGGAGGGACTGGGGAACCCAGCCCCAGCCCAGCCCAAGCCCAGGTGTGGAGGGATGGGTGGGCTGGGGATGCCAAAGGAGGACGTGGGAAGGCTGAGAGAGGATCTGGGCCTCCGCAGATGGGGCTGGCGCTCAAGACTCCAGATCTCGCCCTGGTCGAGTTCCTAAGAGTCCCAAACCGCCTCCCTCAACCCCCTCGAGTCTGAGCATCGAGGTCCCCCTCTGCCCACACTAAGCGTGAGTGGAAGCTGCCCTGGGCAGACGCGCTCCCCCAAGCCCAGCTGGCAGCTAACTACATGCATGAGACTAAGCCGGACTCACCGCGGGCCCCACAGGCGTGGAGTGGCCGCTGGCCGGGGGCGAGCGGCTCACTGTGACCAGGGCCATGGAGTCAGGCCGAGGGCGCCTGGGCGGGTACTGTACACAGCCCTCTCCCACAGCCCCACGGACAATCCCTGCCCGCAAAACCAGGAAGCAGAGCGCAGCCACCAGGGCCTGGCACCTCCTCGGAGGTGGCCCTTAAAGGGCCAGTCTCCTGGCCAGCCCTGCCTGCGGAACCCGCACGCAGTGGCCGGGACCGCGGCCCCTCCCCTCGTGGCGCGGCCCGGCCCGCCCCGCCCCGCCCTGCCCCGCCCTGCCCCATCCCCGCCCCATCCCCCATCCCCCATCCCGCCCCATCGACGCTGGGGGAGGGGCACAGGTGCGTATTCCCATCCCCGTACTCCTCTAGTTCGCCTCTCCTCCCAGGAAGTGCCCCAGCCCTCCCTGCTCCGCCCGGTTAGATCACCTGAGCCCAAGCCGTTTTGGGTCCCTCAACAGAGATAGGTCCTAGGGATGGGGGAAGGGTCGCAGGTCTTAGAATCAGGCACAGTGGATCTTAAATCAGGAATCCTCACCCCAAACTTATTTATCTTTGCTGCTGGCTTTCATGTTAGCAACTCTGCAAGAATCTTTGGGAGACAGCAAACTTCAGGGCAAATAGGGTGGGGTGTAGAAATAATCCAGGAAGCCAGGCATGGTGGCACGGGCCTCTAGTCCCAGCACTCTTGGAGGCTGAGGCAGGAGGATCTCAAGCAGGAGGCCAGCCCGGGTAATTTAGAGAGTTCCTGTCTCAAAATAAAAAATGGGAAAAGGGAGGGGGGGTGGGGATGTAGCTATGTGAAGGTTCTGGGTTAAATCCCCAATACCGAAGTGGGGGAGGGGGGAGCCCAGGAAGCTCACAGAGAAGTCTCAGGTCCACCCCAGAGGCTGGCAGGGGAGGGCTGAGCCAGTTCCCCACTGCTGCAGAGGAAGTGACTTGCCCGAAGTCACACTGTTAGAACATATAGGAGTCAGGGCAGGAACCTGAGCTTGGGGGGGCTTCCCAGTGAGCTGTGACGAGGGTCTGCAGGCCCAGCCTTATCCTCTCAAAAGGAGTGTGGGCCAGATTTCTGGAAGGGTGGCAGGAGGAATGTGGGTCTCCAGTAGGTGGGCAGGGCTCAGAGGAGAGCACCTGATGTTGTCTCCTTCCATAGTTTCAACAAACAGCCCCGGGCATGAGGGTTGTCTCCTCACTTCACAGTCCAAGAAATACAGGTTCAGAGAAGCTAAAGGGGCATGGTCAGGATTCAGAGCCAGCTCTGAGGTCACTGCCATGGTGTCTCCCTCAAAGCCCTCACCCAGGAGCCCCCAGCTCTAGCCCATTGAGTTGAGCAAGCATGCTGCTAAGAGTCTCTTTATTTCCATTTTAGTGCCACTGCCAGTCACCTTTGGGCTCCAGGCCCCAAGCTCAGCAGCAGTTTATAAATAAATAAATTACAAAAGCGAATGGAGGGAGTGGCCCTGACCCTCCCAGGGCCAGGTGGCTCAGTGCTCCGTGAGGGACAGCTGCAGAATCCGCTGTAGGTCCTCCTCCTCCTGCTGCCCCCTCCGATCCCGCTCCTCCTGCTCCTGAGAGGACAACTCAAGTGCCAGGCGAAGCTGCTCCTCAAAGCTTGAGGGGGCCAGAGAGGGGGGTGTCCTCTCAGGGGACCCAGGGCCCCTGGACTCTGTGGACAGCCGCAGGCTTTCCTGGAGGGCACTGTGGGCAGGGGTGAGAGGGGAGAGCAGACCAAAGTGTGAAGGCTAGGGGAGGAGAAGAAGGGTTGGGTGCCTAACTTTGGGGGACAAGGACAGAGTGACAGAGAAGGACAAACAGGACCCATCTCCTTGTCCCCTATGCCACCTTTGGTGGCAGGCAGTACCACAGCTGGATGGTGTCTTTGGAGATGATGTGGGGTCCTAGGACCAGCACCACTGAGCTACCCACCAGCCAGGGGAGCACTGGGGGTGCAAACCCAGTGGGGCTGAGGCAGGGACCTGGTGGGTCCTACAGGGCCTCACCGCTCCAGCTGAAGCTGCTCCTCATACACAGTGGCTTGGGGAGGAGGGTGGGCGCCAGGCCGAGAGTTAGTCAGGGCTTCCCAGATGGTCACCTGCAGTAGCCAGAGTGCAAAGCTGTCACCTTGGCCCTGTGGCTACAGAGGCCAGGACCCACCCCTGCCCCAGCCCCACCTGCTCTGCCTCCGTGCCCGCCTCAAGCAGGCTCTGCTGGATGGCAAACTGCAGCAGGTCATCATCCTCGTCTCGAAGGGGCTCACTGCGCTCAGCGCCCAGCACGCTGTACCCCTCAGGGATCTCAAACACAGTGGGGTCCACCTCGCAAGGGAAGGGGCTCCCTGGGGAGGCAACAGAGGGACCAAGCTCAGCCCCAGGCCTCAGCCCCAGACAACTGCACGGCCTCCCTCTATCCCTCAGGGGGTACCTGGAGTGGCGAGGGCAGAGCTGGGGGCTGGCACCCACACCGAGCTCAGGGGCTCATCACAGCCACACAGGTTGCTGAAGGTGATGCGGGCATTGAGTACGTGGAAAAGGGGGATCTCTGTGGAGACAGGCAGGCCTGAGTCACCTGACCCCTGCAGGCCCTCTTCCCTGGGGCACCCCATCCCACAGCCCCTGGTGGCCCTCTCACCAATCTTGACGGGGAAGCCAGGGGGGAGGCGCAGGGTGATGAAGTCACGAAGCTTGGCAAAGTGAGCATTGCTGATGGCCATTAGGTCAATGATGGGTGTCACCTGGTCACCCAGGGAGAGCGGGTGCTCCTCACTCAGCCACAGTGTTGCCTTGAATCTGCCCAGCCAATCACAGGATGTGGCTTAGGAACCCTCTGGTGGCCTTACCATTGAGGCCCATCACCTCTGGTCACTTGCCTGGGGTACCCTCCTCCCTGCTCAACTGCCCTTGCCTGCCTCCCCCAGTAACTTGTGTCCTGGCCCTGTGGCTGGAGCTGCCCCAGACCCTGGGTCCACACTGGTGCTCATAACGGTTTTGTGTCTGCTTGTCTGGTCTGAGTGAGGACAGTGGGGGCCAGGCAGTAGGCCATTTTCTGCACCTCATCCACAGCCTTGTCCTCCTCTGCACAGAGGTGGCCACCGCTGCACACTCTGCTGTACAGTACAGCTCTGGGGCCAGGACTGCAGAGGCCTGAATCCCAGCCTGGCTGAGAGGATCCACTCGAGGCAGCATGGAGAGTGCTGGGCCTGCTGTTGAGACTTCTGATCACAGGTCCTTGAGAGGTGGGTGGGCAAGTGTGACTTCATTTCATTGAAGAGGAAATCATATTCCAGGTAGGGAAAATATTTCCTCTGGCCACAGAGGCCAGGGCAACAGAACTCTAAGCCCTTCCCATTCTGGCATGCCTTGCCCCCAGCACATGCTCACTAGAAAACTATACAGGATGGTACCACCCATTCATTCACTGGTTCATCAAAGAACTGTGACTGACTCTCTGGGTCACGGTGCATGCTGGGCACTCAGGACCATGGATAACACACACGGGTCCTGCCCTCTGAAGCAGAGGGCAGAGAGAAGACTGCTGGATGAGCAGGTCCCTCACAGTGACAGGAGTCTGAAAAGGCTCAGGGGAGATGGATGGGGTCCCTGTCCCTAGGGAAGTCCCCAGTCAGCCCTCAGACCTCACCTCTGTACTTTGCTGGACACCTCGATGGGGCGGCCAATGTTTCTTGACTCCAGGCTGAAGCTGGGGTTGAAGTATTCATCGGGGGAAATGGCTGTGGGGTTGGTGGGGCTGGCTGCCTGCTGCACAGGAGCCTGGGTGGGCCCCAGGACCACACTTAGCCTCAGGATGGACGGATGGCACCCTGCCCACCCGCTGGCCCGGTGCTCCCCAGCCCCGGCTCACCCCACTGTGGGAGGAGTGCTGCTGGGCCATCCCCAGGAAGGACTGGAATGCAGTCTTCCCCCCTGAGGAGAAGGGAGGGGCTGTGAGGGGACTGTGGGCCACTGCCCAGCCTTACCCCCACCTGGGAGCCTCCAGATGGGTGAGAGAGGGCCAAAGAGGATAAGGAGGCCTCCCAGCTTGTCCAGGGCTACTCTGGCTCTGATCCCAGACCATGTATCACTGGGCAGCAGGCAGGCGCACCTGGGTTTACCTTTGCTCCTCGACTTGTCCTGATCAGAGAGGTGCTCTGTGCGTGTGCGTGTCACCAGCTCCACATTGGTGGCACTGTATACCTGGGGAGCAGGAGGGACGCGGAGAGCTGGGTGTTAAGAGTCTGTTCCCCACACTCAGCCTCACAAGCACAGGACCCAAGTCCTTCTGTCTCCAGAGACAGGTGAGATCACTCCCCACAGTGGAGGAGATGGCAGGGTCTGAACCCCAGGAGTCACCTAATGAGCAGATGCAGCCCAGGGGCCAAGAAGCAAATGCTCCTCTTTGATGGGGGGGGGGTGTCAGCAGACTGTGCCCTCAGGCCCCAGTGAGTTCCCTTGTGTGCACAGGGTTACTCCACCTCTCCCTCCACACTGGGAGTGAGTGTGGAAAAGGACCTTAACTCCTGGGCCCCATCTGCTACCCCAGCCCCCACCACTGCCTCTCCTGCCTTGGCCTCGTAGCCGCTGACAGTCTCCATCTTCTCAGAGCGCCATCCCCAGATACCGCATTTGTTCCTGCGACAGACCAAACAGCAGCTGGTGAGGACATGCACTGTCCACACCCTCGCCAAAGCCCCCTCTATGAGCCAGCCCTGGCTGCCCACCTCTCAGGGTCCCTTCCCACTGGGGAACGCAGAGGGGCCTTGGGGATGGGGCCATCTGAACAAGGACTGGGGCCTAGATGATACTGAGGAGTCATCACAAACTTTATTGGATGTGATAATGGTGTCTGGGCTGAATTAAAAAAATCTTTCTCTGTCAGAGTCATGCGCAGAAACATTTACTGTTGACAGGATGTGACATCTGGGATGTGCTTTAAAATACTCGGCGGGGGGACAGAAAGAGGGGAAGGATAGATTCAGTAAGACTAAAATGTTGATAAATGTTGAAGTTGAGTGATGCTGTGTAAGTACAGTATTAGTTTTTCTTTCATGTATGTTTGAATTTTTTAATTTTAATTTTTTGTAGTGCTTGGGATGGAATCAGGGGCCTTGCGTGTGCTAGGCAAGTGTCCTACCATTGAGTAACATCTCTAGCTCATTTGAAATTTTCTTTTTTTTTCTGGT